CCATCCTCTCAGAAGGCATTTTGGGAGCTTTGTAATTCATGGAATTCTAATAAAGTAACCTTCAAAGAGCGAATGTGGATCCCATGCTGCTACCCTCATTCGACAATAGAAATCCCTGAGAACACCGGTGATTTATTTAGAACACTGGTTGTTGTTGGTTTTTTTGTTTTTGTGTTTTTTTTTTTAAGTGATTGCCTCTTTAGCTCCCCACTGTAAGGGAAAGATACGCCATCCTGTGACTCACATCAGTCTAATTTCACTGAATCGTACAGTGTGCTCATCAGATCACGGGCAGGATCTGTGAATACCAGCAAATTAAACATCTCTGTTTACAGGGATGGCGCACGGGAGGGAAAATGGCCATCAACTCATGGTGCTCTTTTTAGCAATTCTTATCTGGATGTAATTGCAGAAGTTACTGCATTATACATAAGGGTAGAGAACTGAAAATGTTTCCATCAAGAACCATGAATCAATAAATCTTGTGATCGCACTACTGGTGCTATAATTGAGCTAAATCATCTTAAACTGGGCACTGTTCCTGAGGTTCTTTGAAGCATGCTCGCTGTTTCTCTGAGTAACATTGAGGGCTGACCTCCATTTACAAGGACATGGAGGCAGGGCTCATAAATACTAATACTCTGTACCAAGTTCACCAGAGCAAGGCTGTCTCACCCAGGCCTGTAAATGTTCAGTGCGTGATTTAACTCGGCAGAAAAAAGGAGGTCTTGGCTGGGCCGGCCAGCTTTCCCAGGGACTGAAAAGTCTCCTCTGTTGTTACAAAAGATGCTGTTAACTGGAGGTTGTTAATTACCTTTTTCCTTTTTGTATCTGTTTCTTAGAAGGCAACTATTTAGTAAGCAGCAACTCCACATTTTATACGAAATGCTGCCAAACGGGCCTCCAATAGAATTGGGCATTGTCTTTTAAGAAGTCATTTTATTTTGTGTCTTCCACCAAGTTACTTAACGATACTAACAAGTAGACATGTGACACGTGACTCACGATGGTGGTAGAGATGAAAAAATTATAACAACCAGCACTCATCAGGCACTGCCTGCGTGCCTGGGGCTCAGCTAAGCATTTTATTTGTAGCATTTCTTTTCTTGCCTCTCAACAGCCCAGCAAAGGAATCCCTCTTTATTCCTGTTTTATGGATAGGGGAGCTAAGGCCTAGTGAAGATAACCAGCTTGCTCAGGGATGTGTAGCGATGAGTGGAGGAGTCGGGATTTCGTCCCTGGTGGTCAGACCTCACAGTCTTGGAAGGGACCCAGCCATCACCTGTTTGAGCAGCCTCCCCTCACAAAGGAGCCTACTAGAACCTGCAAAATGGAGACTGGCCTGGGGTGTCCCCTCCGGTTCCAGGGAGGGCTGGAAGCATCTGATGACATCCTACGAACACCTTTCCCATCACGTCCCCGGGGATGGGGGCTGTACCTTCTCCCACCACCCAGCTGAGGCCCGTCCACACCTTTGCCAAGCGCTTAACAAATGTTACAGGGGCACCTGGCTGGCTCAGTTGGTTGCGCATGTGACTCTTGGTTTCAGCTCAGGTCGTGATCTCGCAGTTTGTGGGTTCGAGCCCTGCATCAGTGCAGAGCCCGCTTGGGACTCTCTCTCTCTCTCTCTTTATCCCTCTCTCTCTGCCCCTTCCTCTCCCTCTGTCTCTCTCAAAATAAATAAATACACTTAAAAAATGTAAGTACATATTGTAAACATTTCTAAGACCCTTTGAGAAATGCCTTGTAGAGCCCCGTGGAGGCTGTGGAGAGAAGTAAAAGACCATATGACATAAGTGGAAACTCTAGAAACACAGAAACAGTTTTAAGAGTAAATGAAGAGCAGGGGGTGGAAGACGAAGCTTAGCTGAGACTTGAATGGATAGCAGAGGCCTTGCTGGCCCAAAGCACAGGCTTTAAATACCCATAAAATCGGGCCGGATTACAAACCGGGTTTTACTGTTACAATCAGGGCCCTCTGGTGGTCCTGGAAAGCTAGGAATTTCAGGGGCCCCTGTGGGAGCCTTGTAGTCACATCTGTGGTGACAGCAGAGTCGTGTGGAGTTGAGGGCCCAAGGCTGGCCCTTCCTTTTCTATTTCCAAATGGGAGGAGCTCCAATGTCCGCGTGGGTTTGGGCAGGAGCTCACCGGGATGACGTCAGAGATGACAGCCGGTATAGGGGTAGTGGGAAAGTGGGTAGACCTGACCTCGTGTGTGTCCCCAACACTCTGAGCCAGTTTCCTCATCTGTGAACTTGGGGTCCTGAAACTGGGAGTGAAAGCTGACTGAAATAGGGCACCTTAGAAAAGCTCTAGGAGCAGAAGAGTGATCCTTGTTCCCCTGATGGGAGTTCTCTGCTTGCTTACGCGGCACTTCCGTTGGCTCGGCCCCGCCCTCCCTGACTGCCCCTCGAGCAGGTCCCAAGTGCACGTGTGCCAGCTGCTCCTTTTGCGAGCTCGGGCCCCAGGAGCCCCCACGGCCTACAGCTCTGAGCCCCTCCCTGCGTCTCCCTCCATGGAAGCCTCAGCTCTCCACCTTTCTGCTGTGGACACCATGATTCCCTTTGGGAGGCCAAGCACTCCTGCCGCTTCCACGGGCTTGTGCCCAGTGGCCCAGGCTCCACCTGCCACGTTGAACTTGCCCCTGACCCCGCCCACAGCTCTGCCGCTGCCTCCCTGCCGCGCTGGTAGGGGTGTCACTACTGGCCTTCACTCCCAAGTGCCTTATTGTTGCAAACAATTGTTGAAGAGAAAGCAGGATTTGGATCTCCTCTCATGAAACAGTTTCAGGCGATAAACTAGTGGTAATTGGATTCATGAGTTTCTCTGTAATGTCAGGCATTTGCCACTTGGAAACAAAGACAAAATTCCTTTTCAAATACATCTATAGCAAAAATCGTATCCAGTTAAACTTTTCATCTTTTTTGTTTAAATAACTTTTTAAATGTTTGCTTATTTTTGAGAGAGAGAGAGAGAGAGAGAGAGAGAGAGAGAGCATGAGTGGGGGAGGGGCAGAGAGAGAAGGAGACACAGAACCCGAAGCAGGCTCCAGCCTCTGAAAGGTCAGCACAGAGCCCGATGCGGGGCTGGAACCCATGAACCACGAGATTATGACCCAAGTCACAGATGCTTAACCAACTGAGCCACCCAGGTGCCCCTAGGCTTCATGAACTCTTTATGGTGGAAGTCTTATGAGCCTGTACTGTGTTTGAATGCCATCCCTTAATGAAGGTTGATAAATTGGCATATATTGCTCTGAAGCAAAAAGCCTTCGAGTAGAGCTTGGCCAGCAGGAGTGAGTATGAAACTAGGCCTGCCCAGTTGACGTTTAGGTTTTCTAGTCAGGAATGGCCACAGGGTGTCCAGGAGGGGTAATTCTCCCATGGTCTCAAAAGGAAAGGAGAACCAGATAAGCCTAAGTGTTAGGGAAGCAACAAAATGAAAAAAAAAAAAGTTACCTTTTGACTGCCGTTTCAAAATTTCTCATCATCTGACAGCTGAAATTCCTGTTGTGGAGTGAGGAGACTGACTTTTTTGAGATATTATTGACGTACAGCATTGTGTAAATTTAAGGTGTGCAGGGGCACCTGGGTGACTCAGTCAGTTGAGCGTCCAACTTCGGCTCAGGTCATGATCTCGCGGTTCGTGAGTTTGAGCCCCACGTCGGGCTGTGTGCTGACAGCTCAGAGCCTGGAGCCTGCGTGGGATTCTGTGTCTCCCTCTCTCTCTGCCCCCTCCCCTGCTCGCACTCTCTCTCCCTCAAAGATAAATAAACATTAAAAAATATTTTTAAAAAACTTAAGGTGTAAAACATGTCGATTTAATACACTTATATATTGCAATATGATTACAACAGTAGCATCAGCCAACATTTTTATCGTGTCAATATTTACCAGTTCTTCTTTGTGTTGAGAACAGTTGATGTAGCCTCTTAGCAACTTGGAAGTTTCCAGTACAGTGATATTGACTGCAGGCACAGTGCTGTACATGAGATCTCCAGGATTTATTTACTCACTACAAGTTTATACCCTCACTTCTTCCACCCCCAGCCCTTGGTAACTGCCATTTACTCTCTGGTTAGGAGTTTAGTTTTTCAGATTCCACGTGTAAGTGACCTCATACAGTATTTGTCTTTGCGAGCAGGTTAATTTCTCACTGCTTTCTCCAACTATTTTTCATCTTGGGCTCCACAATGGTCATATCAATGTATATTACCTGGAAACACCTTGGAAAAGGTGCCAGTCTTAGAGAATGAGCAGAATTTGCAGTGATGATTTCCATGGTCTTCCATTTGATTTTCAGATGTTAAGCCTGCATTTTTGTCTGCTCTCCCAGATAATTGGTCAGCATGGTAATCGGGCCCTTGCTGTGTGGCCTTGGATGCTCAGTGGTGTTTGTGTGTTTCACGCAGACTTGATTCTCACTGGCTGGGGTGCAGGTGGCAGGGTGCTGCAGGAGGCAGCCGGGCAGAGGCAGGGAGTGGGGGGTACCCAAAGGTTGCTGAAGAGAAACTAATCAGCATACTTGGTGGGGAAGTTAGACACAGTGACAAATTACCTCTGGACATAAAAAATAAAACAAAATACAATGAAATGAAATGAAATGAGAAAAGATAAAATAAAATAAAATAAAATAAAATAAAATAAAATAAAATAAAATAAAATGTAAAGCCCTTGAGACATTGTAGAAGCTAGATGGTGCAAATTATGAAGCGTGATGGAAGAAAAAATAAAAATGGGGAGATTTGTCAAGAATCTTCAAAAGGACTGGATTACACTCCTAGACTGGAACGCACTAAAAAGATTTACTTGATGCTGACACTTAGTATTGACAGCTGAAGTTGAAATATGTTTGTTACATTTCTGCTTCGTGCTGAAACAAAGATGGCACCCCAGCCATCTGTCTTCTCTCCCCCTTGAAAGCCTAGGAAGCAATACCCTGTAAATGTCAGAACAATGGATGGGCAGTGTTTGAGTCTCCCTTGTGTTTTCTCACTACAGGAAACAGCCCCCCGGGTCCCCTGCCCTACGGGTTCCGTCTCTCACCAGAGGAAGAAATGAGGAGGAAGCGGCTTCACAGATTTGACAGCCACTGAGGGGGCAGGGCATCCTGGGCAAAAGTGGTCCAGTCGTGTGATCATTGCCCATGTGGCTCATCATTTCCCAAGCCCCTACTTGAACCAAAAGCACAGTACAGCTTTATCTCACATCTGCCTCGGCTCGTCACCCCGTGGCCCCTGTGGGTCTCCATCCACCAGCAGATTGACTTGTCTTGAAACCAGACTTCTGGAAGCAGCCCACGGCTCTCTGGGCCCTTCTCCCGGCCTCCTCCTGTGTCACAGGCGGAAGGTCCGTTCCTCCAGGCCGGGACCGCTTTCCACACTCCCTCCTGGTGCGGCCAGCCCGGCGGTGCCTCTGCCTCGTTCTGGTTTTGAAGACTGTGACTTTCACCAGCCTGGAAGGTCAGGCCCCCCCTTCTGTCCGGCGTGCCCAGTGCAGGGCTTGGCGAGAAGAGAGAAGCCATGCCTCGGCCTCCTGACACATGGCTGCAATGACTTTCCGGGAAACACGACGTGGCTGCCGTAAGAGCGTGTTGTCCGCTCGCCCTTGCCCGAGCACCTCGGCCTCTTGGGCGCCCACGTGCGGGTGGCGTAGACAGCATATTTGACTTGTTCTTCCATTGCTCTGTCTTTAGAGAACGTCGGGCTGAAAAGGCCTGGGTCAGACCTCGGGGACGCCGCCTACACACTCGGTTAGACATCAGGTGGCACTGACGTTGGGGGCGCACAGCGGCCTCTCCAGCGAGAGGACAGGTTCCCAGAGATGTCACTTGGGTTAGTTAACCAGCCAGCCAAGCAGCAGCAGGTGCTACCAGCAGAGTAAAGCAGTCATTTGGTGGGCTGGTCGCCGAGAAAGCCCTTTTGAGGAAGTATTTTTTTTTCCCCCATAAAAGTGCCTTTTAAATGGCCACTGTAACAGCCGCTCCTCCTGCCCAGGTGCCCAGGACCCACCTAGAAGCCCTCAGTGTTAGAGCCCACGGGCCATCCATGTCACTTAAGACTATTTCCTGGTGCCTGTGTTTCATGAATAAAAAGACAAAGTCAGATATCAGTGATGTCTTATTGTCACTGAGGTATTTATCTTTAAAGAGAGTTGAAGCAGAAAAGGATCTTCCTATTTTCATTGATATTTCTAGCATTTATATATAGTTTTATGATCATGAGAGTAATATATGTGCCTTATATATGCATAAAGCAAACATCTGAATATACCCACATGTTAACAGAGGTTATCTCTGGGGGCAGAGCACGTAGAATTTTTGCTTTCTGGTTTTTTACAATTTTATATCGCAGTGTTTAAAGAATGTGTGTATTTGGGGCGTCTGGGTGGCTCAGTCGGTTAAGTGTCTGACTCTTGATCTCGGCTCAGGTCCTGATCTCATAGTTATGAGATCACATCCCACATCAGGCTCTGTGCTGAGCACAGAGCCTGCTTGGGATTCTCTCCGCGCCCCCCGCCCCCCTCTCTCTCAAATAAAAAAAAGTGTGTATTTGTATGTATGTATATTACTTTTGCAATCAATAAAACTGATTTATATAATAAAACCAGAAATATATAATCAGGAAAATAGATTTAATAAGGACTATGTCTCCATTGAGAAAATTCACAACAGAAGCAAATATAAATACATGTATAATTTTAAAATTTATTATATTTTCACTACTTCTAGGTACACAAAGTTAACATTTTGGGGATATTACTTTCTCAATTTTTCTTTGTACACGTTTGACAAACTTGGAGCATGCCAGCTATGCAATCTTGTATCCAGTTTCCAATCTGAATTGATCTGTGAGAGGCACCAACCTCGCATACAAATGAGCTAAGAAACCCCTTGAGTCTTGGGAGCACCTTGACCTGCACGATGATACCTGGGCTCCACAGGTGAACTTATAATCAACATGCAGCTACATACAGCTTGTTTACCATATGAATTGTATCCGTGAGTCTGATAGCCGTAAACATGTCCAATGTTCAAATGTCATTTCCCTTGCTCCCAAACTCTACGGATTTGACGCCCGTTCTCCTTATTAGAAATAACCTCATTCTTACAGACTGTCTTCTCACAGCACATTGTAAAGGCAATTCTGTGATAGCACTGATGTCTTGCCCTGTTATTATTTGTGCACAACTACACAAAAACATGCCTTCTACGCAGGGAGCGTGGATTGTGAAAGGCTCTGGGGCTGGGTGTGCACTGTCCTTCTCGCCCCTGCCACCACCCAGAGGCGGGTCCTGGCTCCTGGGAGGCACTCATGAAATGTTTTCCCACCAAAGTGTTCTTTCTATTACATTGAAAGTCCAGCCACTGTATATAGAAGTGTTTTTCTTAGTTGCTGTTGAGTCCGGTATAGTGGCTCCTTGTTCTATTTGTATACAAATAGATACAAAGACACCGGAATTGGATTTTGTATGGTGGAAGTAACAGAACATGCACACCTTCTTTATTTGTGGAGTGGAACAGCATTCAACTCTAGAGATGTGGGACAGGCCATTTTAGTTTATAAACAACGAAGATGTTCTGGCAATTAGGATAATTACTTTGTTGTTAACAGACTGGCCTGGGACCAGTGCTTATTATTTTCAGGGTCCATCTTGGGTTTATTTTCCTGCAATAAGGAACCCCCAGGATGATGTCAACACCCTGGAATTAGGTTGAGAAGGATAAACCAGAGCAACTGTATGAGACAGATTCTCTCCCATAGAGGATAAGCATTTAGGGCTGTTTTTACATTTTGGTTTGTAGGTTGGCCCATCGTGATTTCCTGATTGTCTAGTAAGCATCCGGCTGCCATACTCTGGGTGTGGTCAGTCAACCTAGGAGACCTCTCCATTCAGAATCTCTCTGTGCTTCCGAAGATGAGGGAACGGCTAGAGTTGCTTCCTTGTAATGACCCTGAGCGCAGTCATTGCCCGTGATCGCAAAGTCGTACGTGCTGGGTGTAGCTTCCTCCATCCTGTGAGGCTGTCTGTTGCCGCGGCACAGGTCAGCGGTGAATGGCGAGGCTTGGTAGGACCAGGGTCAGTCTCTCTATCCGACACTTGTTCGGCCACGGGGGAGTGCATGAGACCCGCCACCCGAATGGACTGTAAGCCAGGGTGTGGCAGTGCTGGCCTCCTTGTTCCCAGTCTCCCGTTTCTCTTGAGAGGTTCAGGATTCAATAGAGTTGTGTTCAATTCGTCATTTTTATAAATCCTTATGTATACAGCTCTTCCTTTCCCTTCCCATGGGGTATCGCAATCATTTCCTGATTTTTTTTTTTTTTTTTTTTGCTCCCAGTCTTGCATTTTAGAATCACAGACTCTGCTTAGAGGACCTTAAAATCTCTCAATTCATTGCTCTTCTCGAGACTTTAAATCCCTCTTCACTCAGCTCTATGTGGCTCTGCCACTTAATCTTCCAAAACGGACTCTTGTGACGGCCAGTCAGCATCTCAGTACCCTTTATTGTCTCTCTGTTGCCAGAGCATGAAGGTCAGACTCCTCAGCCTCGACCGTGGGGCTCCAGCCAGCCTTTCGACCTCACCCCCAGTTATCCGTAACAGAGACTGCAGGTCCACTCACGGGTCTCCCTGTCTGAGGCGTGAGCTTGCCCTGTGACTTCACTGTGATGTGCTTTTACGTGGAACAGTCTTTTCCTCTCTCTCAGCCCATCCAGACCCTCCCTGTCCGGCCCCCAGATACCATAGCCCAGAATGATCTGCTCTTGTTGGCCGTTGTTCACAGTCCTCTTGGAATTTCAAGGTATCCTGCAGTGAAAGAATGTCTTTGCTCTTCGGGTGCCTGGGTGGCTCAGTCAGTTGAGCGCCCGACTTTGGCTCAGGTCATGATCTCACAGTTTGTGAGTTCGAGCCCCACGTCAGGCTCTGTGCTGACAGCCCGGAGTCCAGAGCCTGCTTCGCATTCTGTGTCTCCCTCTCTCTCTGCCCCTCCCCTGCTCACACGCTGTCTCTCTCTCCAAAATAAATAAAGATTAAAAAAAAGAATTAAAAAAAAAAAAGAAGGTCTCTTCTCTTCTAGATTGTAAGCTTCATGAGGCAGGGACCATGACTGTTTCTGTGTATCTCCTCACGGTACCTCCGACAATGTCTGCAGCACCCGAACCAATAAATGCCTGTGTTTTGAAACAGAAGCTCATTTATACTGTCACCGGCAGCACATAAAAAAAAGATGGGGGTGTTGCTAATTGATATTGTTGTGGTTTCTTGAATCACATCAAGGGAGGAATAACGCGAAGGAAAGGATTGGCCCATGGGAAGAATTTCAGACCTTTCCCAAGCTTCAAAAGATAGCATGCGTACTGATCTGAAGTGGGGAGGGATCGCCACCCTCGTGCATCAGTCTGAAGACACACACTTTGTCACTGCACAAAATTCGAGATCCCAGTATGTCCAAAAGATATCACTGAGGGCTGCCCGTGTAGACCACCAGATCTGGCCATTGTACTCTTGAAGGAATGCTTTTGATGTGTCCGTGCGAACCTTTTCTCCCCCCTTCTGGGGCAGGGGGGAGTCATCTTGGCGTCTTGTTCAGACGACAGAAACGAGCTGGCAGATTTGAACATAGGATTTACGTTTTATCAAGGGAAACTGGAACAATGCTAGTAGAAGTCATTGAATTTGGTGGCGATACATGTTGATGCTTGGGAAGAGAATGAGGTGATAAAAATTAATGGTATCGTGTGGCTTAAAGAGACTCTTGGAATCTGGGGCCCACACGAGCAAAACCTGAGAAGCAGCACTCTGCCGCGTGGCTCTCTGTAAACAGAAGCCGATGCGGGTCCCCATTGACACCAGCTGCTCACCCACCAGCCAGGCTTCCTGCCAGGAAGTTGTATCTCTCACTTTATTTCCTTTTAAATACCGTGCGTAGTGTCTGGAGGGAAGTGTTAAAAACAAGAACAAGTCAAAGAAAAGCATGTGACTTTGTAGATTCTGGGCTTTTGTTTGAGGTCCTCAAAAGTTAACTCATTTTAGCCTTGTGATGTTGTCTCTTTATAAGGTCCCTCCACCAACAGTTGAAAATAGCCTGCACATCCTTAGCAGCAGATAAGCATGAAAACCATTGAACAGGGTCTTCAGGATCTCATGAAAGGACAGCAGCCAGGGCCAACTTTCCTGCGACTCAAAGAGTGTGGGCCCTGGGCCAGCAGGGCCAGCAGCAGCCAGGAGTTGCTAGAAATTCTGACTCCTGCCCCCAGACAAAATGAATCATAATCTGCATTGTAACAGGTCCCGAGTGTGCACGAATGGACAAATAAGATGGGACATGTATACGTATATACAATGAGATACTATTCAGC